TCGGCCAAAAAAAAAAACCTGCTTTCTTTCGTGATTTTCGTTTTATTTTTAACATGGCGTTGTATAATAAAAACACGTTTGTATAATTGGGTCACATAAGCCAATTAGGATTTCCCCATCACTTTAAGGCAGAAGCACATTTTCAGTAGTAACTCCATAAACAGACCATCTCAGAGATCGAGACCTGCTTTAAAACAAATACATTAGAGCCTAGTACATTTATCATCATATGGGAGAGATTTCATGTTCTCACGGCAGACAGTATGATGATCAATCTCTTTTGTGTTGTAGCACCACGTAGTCTGATAGAAGTTTACCGACGTTTCAGAGGTCCTTGCTGCCTCCAACATCATAGCGACAGGACGACTTTACTCATCGCCCTGAAGACGGTATTAAGTGCCTCTGAAACGTCGGCCAAGTTCTATGAAGCTACACGGCGCAACATCCCAGAACAAGCTTTTAAGAACAAAACAATAACTGGAAACTATTATATGATCAGCAGAGCCAATATTTTGCCTGTTATGGCTTTCAAAGCACGTGTCTGCGTGTATTTAGTCTTACTTAAATAGGTTTTCTTCTGGCATAAGACATTGGCCAGCCCTAGTCCACTAAAAATACAAGATCCATGCTAGACTCTTTCCTGAGATCTTAACAATCACGAAACGTAACGCCCACTTTCCTTAATGATCTAAGAAGCTAAGATCAAATCTGAAGTAATAAAAATGGTCATAAATGGTCCAGGATAACCACTCAATTGCGACTATACAATTGGCGACCTCAGAAACCATGTGACTTTCAGGTGACACATAGCAGGCTACTTTACTTGAATAACGTATAATACGCACGTACCATAAAGCTATAGTAAGACTATTACAAAATACATAGAAAATACATAAATCAAACTTGAGAAGAAATTACATGGCCATGAAATGAATACAAAATAGTACAAGACTATTAAAACAAGTTCAACAGCATCACGGTTTGTGTAATGATTGTATAAATTCTTTACATAAAATATCCTTGAAGGTGGCAACTACCACATTAAATTTACCTCGTAATTCATTTGTTTATGTCATCAGAACTCGGAAAGGAATCCGGCCGTCCCGTGGTTTTCCTCACTGCCTTCCTGTAAACGCCTTGTTGTCGCTAAAACTTCCTTCAACATTCTTTGAGATTCGTCATTCGCAATCCTTCTATTTTCCAGCGCCATATAACTTAACACCTGAACAGCGTCGTTAAATAATCAATGAACAAATAAACCCTATAGATAACTAAGCAATAGTTATGCACCGGTGTAAAAATTACAGCTTCACAAAGGCATTAATCGACTTCAGATTCGATCATCTTCTCGACACATCAGCACGTTATCTGCACTGGTAATAACAAATCTTACACATAAACAGTTGCTATTTAGAAATATCGACCTGATAAATTTCATTTCCGAAACATCGTCGGGATTTCTGATGACAAACGCGGTGAGTCACAAGCAGCTTCATGTAAAACAGATAACAGTCGCTCAAACGATCAAAAAGTTCCCTGTCTTTTATTGAACCCGGTGGTTCAAAATGGTGTTCGCAATACCATACGGTATTTCTTTAAAATCCATTGTAATATTTTATTTCCACAATACACGAGTCTCCCAAACAAGGTTTCTCATATCACCTCTTAAATTATATCGTTGTTAATTTCATTATTTAAAATAAATTATTTAATTTATTTATAATCAATGTATTTCTGACCTCGTCTTTTAATGTACAAGGTGCGATCGGAAAGTTTCAAGACTGTGTCAATAGAGGGCGAACCGGATGTAGTACGAGCTTCTGCCGCTAGGGGGTGCGGCCTACATTCATAGTGAATCAGTGTGCCAGCCGGCATCATCGAATTAGCATTTGTTTCTTAGTTACGGGCGTTTTGGTAGTGCATTACACCGACCCTCCTGCGATTTTAATGAACAAAGAGTGTGCATCAAATTTTGCCAAAGACTCGCCAAAACCGCTACGGAAACCTATGAAATGCTAAAGCAAGCATTTGGGGAGTCCGCAAACTTTTGTGTGGCATTCACGTTTTAAAAATGGCCGAACCCCTGTCGATGATGACGAGCGTTCTGGACGACCATCTTCGAGCACAACGCCCGAAAAAGTTACGAAGAT